GCTGGCGGCGCCAGACGCTGGGAGCACATCACCGTGGATTTTAAGCCCAAGCCACCGCCGAGATCCCCAACGGCTGGGGCAGCGCATTTACTATGGAACAAGCTCGCCAACAGATGAAGCTGGCGTCGCTCGAGCTGAACAACTGGCAGAGCAGATTGAGCTGGCGAGGGCGTCGGCGGCCGAGTCCGACACCGACTTTGTTTGTGCAGTGCCAGAAAGTCTACCAGGACACGGTGGCTAAGTGGGCTTGTCAGCTCATATCTCAGTCGCCCGCGGTCAACGTTGGCAGCCAGAAGGTCAGCCTCCAGGCGTTGCCCGATGGCGGCGGTTTCGAGATGCACGGCAATGGATTGTTCGGCTTGCAGGACCTTGGTGATGTCGAGGCGTCAGAGGCTGAGCTACGTGACGTGGAAGAACTACGTAGAGACAACCCTCTTCGCGCTGGTGCAGCAGGCGATGCAGGAGGCGTTCGGGGCGCTCAAGGAACGCTGTGGCCAGATGGTCGAGGGGCGGCGCAGTTTCGTCACGAGGATGCAGGTCAAGCGTCGTTGTGGGCCTGATGGCGAGGCGCGTGCCCCCGATCCTGTGCACGAGCCTCCTGCTGCCGAAGGAGCAGGAGCGCGAGATGGACAGCCTGCTCGGGCCGACGCCCACACGGGCTCCGCCAGCTCCCAGGGCGCCAGCGCGGCGGCGGCTCCGAAGGGCCGTGCCGCCTTAGGCAACTCAGGCGAGGCCAAGGCTTCGCAGTCTACGGCTTAATTTCCTGGAGCTTTGCATCCGCGCGGTTGACGCCGCGCTCTGGAGGCCGTGCACACCACGCGGCGCTCGGGGCTTCTTCCTCGTCGTCTGTGCCTCCGTCGGCCACTCTTTCTGATGGAACTCCCTCCCCTGATGACGACCGCGGGCCCCCGGGGCACCTACCTCCAGCTCAACATGATGCGGGCTCCATTCCTGTTCTCCAGCACAATGCTGTCCATGATTCGCGCGAGCCCCCTGTCCACCAACCTCATGCAGAAGATGATCATTGTGAACTGGGGCCCTTGGCTCCTGGCCCTGGGCCTGGTGGCGCGTGCCCATCCTGTGGCTTCAACACGAGTGGGCTACAGCCGACCACTACGTTTGCTTTTCAGCTTGCGCTTGGGGCTCTAGCTCGTGGCATCGCCCCACGCCCTTCTTCGACGTCTGCGGTGGCGGCGCCCTCCTCGTCTGCGGGTCGACACCAACTGCGCTGCCTGCCGAACCTGGCCACTCTGAGGCGATCTCTATTACTCAGCTTGCGAACGCTCTTCCTGCCCTGAACGCTCTGTACCCTGAGATCTCCGTGGGCACAAGGGAACTGGTTCGCTGGATGCTGAACAACCCGTGCAGCCTGCTGGGAGAAGACGAAGATAGCCCACATGATGATGATGAGCTGGAATGTCTCCCTGATCCTGGTGCGCAGGAAAACTGGACGAGGCACCTCACTTTCTCGAGTTTTGTGCCGACGAAAACGCCCTGGCCTGTGACTTGGAAGATGACGGGTCTGTGCCGCGGCTGCTGGCTGGCATCCCCTCTGGCGCGTACGTCGGGGTGGACGGCTCCTACTACGTTGATCCCAACTTCGAGCACCTGGCGTTCGACGGCTGCATGCCCCCCGCTGGTGCTCACACCATTGATGCTGATGATCCTGGCTTCGTGGCCCACTCGGACTGGGAGGGCGCCTTCCCCGACTTCACGCCCTTCGACCCCGTGTCGCAGGATGCGTTCGGCGACACGTCCGTGGACCACGCCGCTTGCTCCGACGCCGTCCGCGTCGCCGCCTCCGCCGCCGACCGCCTCAACGTGCCCCTGAGCGTTCCAGAGGGCGCGCGGCCGAGCGCGCAGCGGGCGAGAGGAGGACTCTTGCCCCCAGGGGCGTTCCCTCCTCCTCCTCCTCCTCCTCCTCCTCCTCCTCCTCCTCCTCCTCCTCCTCCTCCTCGTCCAGGAGGTGCCCGGGGCCCATACCCAGAGATCCAACGCATGGAAACAATCGAGACGCAGATTTTCGCTGTGTTCGGCGTCTGGGGGCCCTCGCCGGGCCCTGGGCCTGTAAGTTAAAAAGACCCGGAATGAGAAACCGGCCTTGGGGAAAGGGTTTTGGGGCTTCCGGGGGCCCCTACTGGCAAAATCACGACGTCGGATCTCTGGATGCTGCTACCCTTCGCCCGTATTCCCCTTATTCAATCGCTTCGCTCATTCCGCCGGCCCTCGAGCGCTCTATGGGGCCTCTTTGAAGCCTCTTGGGGGCTTCTTTGGGGCCTCCTAGGGTCCTCTTGGGGGCCTTTTGGGGGTCTCTTGGGGCTCCTTGGCGGCGTCTTGGGGCCCCCTTGGGCGTCTTGGGGGGCTCTTGGGGGCCTCTTGGGGCGGGGCGGGGTAGTCGAGTGCACCCCCCTCGGAGGCCACGATCCTCGTGAGGGGTGTCGAAAAAAGGCCTTCAAAACCATCTCTTGGTAGACTTGGTCGGGCTGCGGTCGGGATACTTTTCGCCGGGGGACCCCCAGGGGCCGCCCCGCGCGCGCGAAGTAGAAATATTGTGAACCAGTTACCGGAGATCTTAGCACGCCTCTGGCCCGTTGGGCCGGCGAATTCGGCCTCACAGGAGGCCCTCGTCGCCACCGTGGGATTCGCCTCGCAATTCTGGCCAGAACGCGCCACAGGAGAGGCCCAGGGAGTAGCAGTATCGGTTCCTTGTGGTTTCCCCATCGGCGCCACCTCGGGACGCGCGCGCGACCGCCGCGTGCTGCCTGATCCGCGCAATCTGGCTCGAAGTGCCCCCGTTGCCGAGAACTTACCCAGACCTCCAACAGCTAGATCACACTCAGGGCCGAGCGCTTACTGCGCTGCCGTTTCTGGCGCCTGGAGACCGATTTCGGCTTTGGACTGTCAGCGAAATCAGTCTGGCTGCAGGCCCGGTCCTGTGGAAAGTGCCGGAGGTTTCGGGGGCGGCCAAGAGGGGGGTGATGACTGGGGGTGGGAGATCATGGCGTGGGCCATGAGATCTCCTCAGATTTCATGGCGCCTCTTCTTGTTTCAAAACGTTCCCTGCCCGCCCCTGGGGCGCGCACATGCCGCCGGCAATGCTTTGCGCCCCCTCCTTTTCGAGCCCCCCCCCCTCTTGGCCGCCCCCGAAAGGTCCGGGGACCTCGTGTGGAAGCAAAGACAGCTCGGCGTCGCTCGGACATGTGCGTCTTTTCTCCCGGCGTGGGCCACCGAGGAGCATCCTGGGGGCCACCTGGCAACAACAAAAAGCATGCACGAAACCGACAGATGCTCAAGGAATGGGCGTCCGAGCGTTGGCAAGAATTATGATGTTTCAACCTACTTCAGCCTTGATCACCAGAAAAAAAAATTCGAGCACCAAGAAAGTACCGAAACTGGAGGGTTTTCACGTGTCGGGCCCTGGGAGGCGATACTCATTCGACACTGGTTGATACTTTTCTGGGTGCTCGAGATTTGTTCTGGGGATGTGGTCCTTAAGTACGATGGGAACAATATACAGTCGGCCCTGATTAGTAGGTCGACCCTGCAAAATCAAGGGTACCCTTGTGTCCTGTGTCTCGCGACCCGTGCCTCCTACATTCCTGTGGCAATGTGGCCCTCGGGAGGGTCTTGTGTCCTCTCGCGTGTCCTGCCCAATCAAGTTCGACTGTAAGGCAAGACGAGCGGGGGGATGTCGGAGAGGATCCTCGTCCCGTCCGCGCGAGCCGAGGTGAGGGGACAGGGGACGCGCAGCAGTTCAAGACCTGGGCAAGCGGAGGATGACGACGACGACGAGGGAGGGGGGAAGGATGGGAGGAGGAGGAGGAGGAGGGGGAGGAGGAGGAGGAGGAGGGGGAGGAGAAGGGAGGAGGAGGCGGAGGAGGAGGAGGAGGAGCGGGGGGATGTCGGAGAGGATCCTCGTCCCGTCCGCGCGTGCTGCGCGGAGCTCGCACTAAGCTGCTGCCCGCGCGGCCCTCTGCCGGCGCCACCCAGCAGGCCCGCGCGGCCTGCGGCCGACAGGCACGCGCAGGCGTGCGCAGGCCGCCGACTCCGCACCGTCCCCGCAGTCGCCGTCGCCACCGGCATCGCCTCGCCAGGGGGGAAAGCGGGTCCTGGTGGAAAGTCGGAGACTGGAGCATATACATTACCAGTGGCGAGCGGTTTCTCAATCCCAGGACGTCTCTTAGGGTCGGGCACGACGTCGGGGTGGTGTGCTGCATACGTTTCTCCCGTGTTCCACCGGAAACAGCGAAAAGTGTATACAACAGGATCCCGTATACACCAGGATCTGCGTTCCCGTGCGAATTTCAGCGCAGGGTCGGAAAAAGCGTCGGTGAATAGAGCTCGTTCCCCTAGAAAGGGGTCCGGAGGTTTTTCGCCGTTTTCGGGCTCTCGGGGCACTCCACGGGCCTTGGGGCTGTCAGAAAGTGGCTCGAGGGGAAGAGCTCGTCCTGGGGGAAGGCCCCAGGGTCCAGGACGCGTTGCCCTCAGGACCCGCTTCCCCCGTGCTTGCATCGACACCGCCATCGCCATCGCGATCAGATAAGGATGGATAGAAGGTCGGGTATAGCCAGGACCCCGGGTAAGGGGACCCGGTTAGTGGTAGGGCCCTGGGGCCCCTCAATTGGCCAGATTCATTAAACCAGGTTTGCCGTAACTGGTGTTTTTCAGGTGACGGCAGTTCCGGTTAGTGGAAATGGGACGGGGGGGCGCCCCCGGGTACAAATCACTAAACCAGGTTTCACTAAACCCAGTTCTGCCAGCGCCCGAGAAGGGGTGGGGAGGGGGCGAGGGCGAGGGCGAGGAGGACGAAAACGAGAGAGGGCCACTTCAGGTTCACTGGGAGGGACAGTGCCTCCCCTCGAAGCCACCGTGCCATGGCCAGCGCGTCGGCACTGCAACGTTGGTTCGTGTGTGTGTGTGTGTCTGACAACAGTGGAGAGGAGTTTCATAAGTGCATTGGAGGGTTTCCCCGAAGGGCTTAGGCGACCCGTCCTCCTCCTCCTCCTTCGCCTCCTCCTCCGTCTCCTCCTCCTCCTCCTCCTCCTTCTCCTCCTCCTCCTCCTTCTCCTCCTCCTCCTCCTCCTCCTCCTCCTCCTCCTCGGGTGGCCCACGGCCCTGCGGGAAACCGTGCAGAGTGCATCCCATGGGGTGCAACCCATGGGGTGCACTTTAGGGGATGCGGTACCTGGGCTCGATCCCCCCCCAGCTGCCGCGCGAGGCCACCGCGAGTGCGTCCTGGGACCTCTCGCGCCCCGCGTCAGTTGTGGGACCTGCGCGTCTCGGAGGGGCGCGAGGGGCCATCTCTGGCTTCCGCGCGATCCCACGGCTCGCAGCAGGGGCTTCAACAGAAAGTCCCAAGCGATTCATCGGGTGCAGGCACCCGGCGAACCACGAAGCCGTTCCGCAGGCGTGTCCCATTCCAGTTGGGAGCGACGTTGAGGCGTGGCTTAGGCCAGGCCAGGGCTTGGGCAGCGACAGTCTCTCATCCTATCTTATGGGGCCCGCTTGGCACGATGTGTGTCCTGATGGAGCGCTGTGCTCCCCCCTTCCTCAGTGTGGGCGGGGCAGCGGCGCTCCCATGGGTGCTCTTCTTGCTTTGCTCTTTTCTCCTGGTCCTGTCGCTGCGGCACCAGTCCTGGAGGGTGGGCGTGATGTGTCTCTGATGCTGGGCATGCGGAGTTCGTGTTTCCCGCGCACGTCTTGTCCTCGTCATTCGTATGGAATTGCCATGTGGGAGCCCCTGAGGAAGGCCGGAGGAGGCGTGCGCACGTGCAAGTTGCTCTGGCTCTCGTGTGATTCGTCTCTGTCGGCCTCTTGTGCCGTTGCGTCTGCGGGGGACTTGATCAGGAGGGAAAGAAACACACAGACACAATTAATTGTCGATTCCCAGGAAAATATAGGAAAATATGGGAAGTGGGGGGGAAGACAAAAACCCAGAAAATATTGGAAAATATAGGGGAATCCTTTTATTTGTGTGTATTTATTTGTGTGTCCCAGGGCCCCTTCAGTTGAGAAAGACCAGCCTGTGCCGTCGGCCCAGTGGCTGCCCGGCGAGAGCTCTCCGCAGCAGTCGCTGTCGCGGCCACCGGTCACTCCTGCCTCCCGGATGGCGGTGCGTTTCTGGCGGGGGAGGAGCGCCTGGGGCTCGCTCTCCGAGCCGAATGCGCAGGACGTCGCAAAGCAGCTCCTCATCCCTCCTCCCTCCTCTCCTCGACCCCCCTCCTCCTTTCTCCTGGACCCTGCCCCTGCTCCCTTGCACCCCCTCCTCTTCCATGGCCCTCCTCCCCATGCCCCCGACATCGTGACCTTGTTCGCAACCTGGGCTGCCAGAGGTCTCCGCCACTCCCCTGGGCCCAGCCTTGCGGCCCCCGGGCCTTCTGAGAAGTGCTCCAAGCTTCCCCCCGAAGGCCAACAAAAACTTCTCACAAGGCCCGAGGGCTTCTGAGAAGTCCCGCCGCCATCTGAGGAGGCCTTCTCCTTCTCACTTCCCCCCCCCCCGCGCTCGCCACCGACGATAGTTGACCACCACAGTTGCCTCGGGGGGCGTCCTAACCAGAGCTTCGAGGCGGATCCAGCCGTGTCGACGAGAGGCCTCCCTCGGGAGCCGGTATACATATATCTGTACGCCTGTACATGTATACATATGGAAATTTGCATCTAAATCCATACACACAAATGTATAAATTTATGTGTGTGCGTGTGTGAACATGTATTTGTGTTCACATACGTATACATATATATACATATATATATATATATATATATATATATATATATATGTACGGCCACCGCCACCGCGTGCGTATACCTTGTGTCGGAGCAGCTTGTTCGGGGGGGGGGGGGACACATCGCGTCCCCAGGGCATGCCATTTCTGTACACGTCCCCCGTTCCTCGGTCTTGCGCCGGACCAGCTCGTCTGTGGAGGTGGTGCACAACAATCGCGCCCAGGCTCCCCAAAGAGCAGGGCGGACTGCCCGGATCACCGAGGAGGCCCCGATCCAAACGCTGCCGCCCCGCGGCGAGTTCAGCCGCGCCGCGAGCTCCCGCCAGAGGCGTCGAGCTCCCCTGCGCGGGTGGCGCGCGGGGCGCCCACCCGCATCCTGGGCTACAGTCGAGGGGCGAAACACCACGACCATGACCAAGATGCCGCGGGAGCTTGTCGACGCCGACCTTGGCCATGGTGCATGCCCGTCGCCGACGACTCACGAGGACCAGCCACGAACTAACAGCGACCAAGAATGGACGGTGGCCAAGATCGGCACCCGCGTTCCCGCATTCAGTCTTGGTCATGGTCATCGTTCGCTTTCCCAGACATCTGGTGTCCTGATTTTTCAATACGCCGTCCCCAGATCCCGACCCTTTCACCAGCGCCCCTTTACCATCCCGGATCATTGTTGATGGTCCTGGGGCCTGGCGAGGGCCCCCTGCGGCCAGGAACGACGAAACATTTCCGCCCTGTTTGTGTTCAAGACGCTAGATGTCTGGGTTCCCTCCACACAGGAGACTGTTTTTATTCAGATTCTGGCAGGTTTGCCTGCGTTGCATGGCACTTCCCTCCCCCCCTCTGCCGCCATTTCGAGCAGCGCATGGGCCTGGAGGGCATGCAGTTGTGCCCCGACTTTGCGGGAAGTCCAGAATTCCCTCCGGGTCCCTCCACGCTCTCCCGCCATCCCCCTGGCATCGCTCGGACGTGTGCATTTTTTCTCGGCGAGAACCATTGAGGACGATCCAGGACCATCGAGCCAACAAAAAACACGCACGAAACCGACAAATGCACGGGAAATGGACGTCCGAGCGATGGCGAGGGTCCCCCTGCAATGCAGGCAGACTTGCCGGAAGCTGCGCTTGGGGGCGGAAGGATCGGCGTGCAATGGGGCGCCGCCGGCCCGCTTCCGGCACGCCATCCCCCCACCTTGGCAGGAGGAGGAGGAGCAGGAGGGGGAGGAGGAGGAGGAGGAGGAGTAGGAGGAGGAGGAGGAGGAGGAGGTCGGATGATGATGATGATGATGATGATGATGATGATGATGATGATGATGATGATGATGATGATGATGATGATGATGATGATGATGATGATGATATGATGATGATGATGATGATGATGATGATGATGATGATGATGATGATGATGATGATGATGATGACGATGACGACGACGATGACGATGACGATGACGATGAGATGATGATGATGATGATGATGTGATGAGGAAGGAGGAGGAGGAGGAGAGGAGGAGGAGAGGAGGAGGAGGAGGAGGAAATCTGATGATAATGATGATGAGATGGATGATGATGATGATGATAGGAGGAGGAGGAGGAGGAGGAGGAGGAGGAGGAGGGGAGGAGGAGGAGGAGAGGAGGGAGGAGGAGGAGGAGGAGGAGGAGGAGGAGGAGGAGGAGGAGGAGGAGGTGGAGGACGAGGAGGAGGAGGTGGAGGAGGGGCCCCTCGGAGGGGGTACCTTCCGGAGATCGACGTTGCGCGCCATCCTTCCGACCCCAAACGTCTCGCAGAAACGCCCGCCAGAGCCCGCGGCGGCCGGGGGCGCGGCATGCGCGGGCTCGGCGCGTGAGGCGCCCGCGGCGGCCTCCGCTCCGCCCCGCCGGCGAAGAGGCGGCCCGGCCCCGCGACGACTCGGCGGCGGGCAGGGGGGCGGCGGAGGCAACGCTCACACTGCGGCGGCGGCGCAGACGGCCACAACGACGATGCCGAAGACGACGACGACGACGGCGGCGACGACGTTGACGACGACGACGACGACGACGGCGACGACGACGACGACGACGGCGGCGGCGGCGACGACGACGGCGACGACGGCGACGACGACGACGGCGGTGGCGCAGGCGGCGGCGGCGGTGGCGACTGCCCCCGCGTGCTCCGGCTCAAGCAAGCGCCGTGAAGGAACCGACGACGGATGGTGTCTTGGCCGCCTTCGGCCTCTGGGGGCCCTTGCCAGGCCCCGGGACCGTCAAAAACAAAGCGGGAGGAAGAACCAGGCCTTGGGGAAAGGGTCGGGACTTCGGGGGGCCCCGTATGGAAAAGTGAAGAGCACAGGATGTCCAGGGACGCCCCTCTTGGGCCACCTCGGGCCGTCGGGGCGCCGTGTTCGGGCCCAGGAGGCGATGTTCTGCACGTCTTGGGGCCGAGGGAGGGGCCTCTGTCTTGAGGTCCGCGGGCGTGGCGTGGCGCTTCGCGTGTCCCCGCGGGCCCGTCCTGGAACGATGCCCCGGGGGAGCTGCCCTGTCGTGGGAGCGTGGCCCTTTCGGGGAGCCTCCGTGGGCCAGAGGCCCCTTGCGGTCGGGAGCTGTGGGATGGCGTGCCGCTCCGTCGGTGCTGGCCCACCACGGCTCGGTGCGACACGGTCGCCATTTCGCAGTCCCGAAGCGTCAACGCCAACAGTTTCCCCCGACCTCCCGCCCCGCGGAGCGGAGCGACACACTAATCCAATGGCCGTAATAAGATACAAAGTTGGTGTCGCTTTGCGCGGGCCCCAGGAAACCTGCAACCCGTCATGCGTTCTACTGTCGCAGGTCGCCCAGCAACCTTCCATTGTAGTGTTGCAGATTTCGCTGAACGTGTCTCTCGCACCCCTCCGTCTCTGTCACTCTCTCTCTCTCTCTCTATTTTTGTTGTTCTCTCTCTCTCTCTCTCTCTTTTTCTCCCTCTCTCTCTTTCTATTTCTCTTGTTGGTTTATTTATATATCTCTACCTCTCTCTCTCTTTTTGTTTTGTTTTTCTCTCTCTCTCTCTCTCTTTCCCTTATCGCGCCGTCCTCTCTCTCGCCCTCTTTCTTTTTTTTCTTCCTGCACCTCTACCGACTCATTGGTTCCATCACCTCTCTCCCTCCCTCTCGATGTCGCCACCTCTCCCCGTCGCTCTCTCTTCCGTTCCCTCATCCTGTATGTATGTCTATATTGTTTTTTCGGGAGGGTCCAATCGCCGCCGCCGATGGACTCGGTCGGATAAGCTGGACCAGGAGTCAGGGATCTCAATTGATTTCTCTGTCTCTCTCTCTCTCTCTCCCTCTTTCTCTCGCTCTCTCTCTCTCTCTCTCTGTCTGTCTGTCTGTCTCTCTCTCTCTCTCTCTATCCCCCCTTTTTCTCCCAAGGATCTTAAAACTGCTCGCTTTCTCTGTTTATTTGTTGTTGTTTATGTATGTGTTTGTATCTCTCTATCTCCCTCTCCCTCCCTCACTATTTTGTTCGTGCTTGCTTGTTTGCTTTCTCTTTCTCACTCTTTCTCTCTTTGTTGTGCTCTCTCTCTCTCTCTTTCTCTCTTTTCAGCCTCGCTACGGCAGCACATCTGCTCAGGGCGAGCTACGAGTAACCGCTCGCGCCCTGTAGCCCAGTGAGTCTGAAGCCGTATGAATCGCACGGGGCCGATGCGTTTCACATCCCCTTTTCTTGCACGCGCGCCATGGTT